AGAGGCAAAAAATAAAGAGATAAAAATGAGGTCAGACAATGTGAAGCCGCACCTGGCCGGTGGTAGACCTGCAGGCTCCTCTGCCCCCAGTGCCCCTGGAGCCACCACTTGCGGCCTGGAGGGGCGTCCTGCTGACACACGAGGAGGGTGGCCAGGTGCTGTGGTGGCGTTTACTTTGGAGCCACTTGTTCACCTGCGCTGCAGCAACTCCTCATGCTGGGCAGTCCTGTGCAACAAACCAGGGGATGCTTTCTATTTAACTGTGAGCTTTAAAGACTATTAGAAAAAATATTGCTAGCTCTGGAAATTTGTTATTTGGTAGGTTTTCATTAAGGTGAGGCTAACCTGTCGCTATGTGCGTGTTTTTCTAAGTTGGGTGGAGAGAGGGTGAGACAGCTCAGCAGCCTAAAGTGCCTGCTTAGGAAGCCTAGGCAGGTGCAGGGGACCATGGTTCAATCCCTAGCACCACATGCTGCACCAACCCTGCCCTCACAGTAGGCTAAACTTGCAAAAAAAAAAAAAAAAATTTGGGTGGATTAACAGAAATTATTAAGTGAGGGTGGAGCCGGTGACACTTAGACATGGCCATATTGTGTAGAGTCCCTTGAGCATCGGCCTTAGAGTAACACAGAGGGAGTTGGCACAGGGAGGACCTCTGGGTGCTGCCAGCCCAAGGTGATAGGCCGTGGCGGATGTATCCAGGCATCCAGGGTGCGACTGGCCGCTTGCTATCTGATGGCTCCCCAGGCAAGGACCCTGTATTCCTCTCAGCGGTGCTCCCTTGTGAAGAGTTCAAGCACCAAAATACCCTTTACTTCTTTATTTACCATCTAAAGGACGGGGACTGGAAGATTCCGCCCCTTTCTTGTGCCAACCAATAGCCATTTGTCAGCTCTGAGCAAGCTGTCCCAGAAGCAATATTCCTGCAGCAGTTTCTCTTGTAGGACGCAATTATGGAGTCAGCTCAGTGCTTCATGTAACCAGCTTTTTAGGATTCTGTTTAGACTTTTTTCTTTCCGCTTCCATTCTCCCAGCAACTTTGGACATTATGTGCGCAACACAAGCAAGGTCCCAAGCCTTCAGGCCAGGGCCGGGGAGGTGCTGTGTGCCTGCCAGCCAGGTGGGCAGATGCCCCTGCGCTCCCTCTGGGCCACTTGGACTCTCCCAGGCTCTGCTGCAGCACACACCTGTTCTCTCCTTCTCTTCACGCCCCCTGATTTTTCCCAGCCTATTCGCACCCTGTCCCAGTGTTCAACTCTGATTCTGTGCTCCTTCCTCTGAGACCATCCCAAGCCATGTCACAAAGCGGGTTGCTGGGAGATCCCCTGCCAGTGGAGCGGGTTAGCCCATCAGTGGGGACCTTGCTCTTCACAGAAACCCTTTCCAGAGCCTGACAAAGTGACTCTCCAGGGCGTGGGCATTGTCTGCCTACAAAGCTACTATGATCCAGCTGGTGTAAAAGTCTCTAGGGCTCTGGTCATCCTGTGGGTGGTGGCCACGCGTCTTGACTATGATTTGGCGTAACGGAACCATTGTAGCACAAGTTCCTCTATTGCTGAGCCTGCCTCCTCCCTCATTTCTTTTGAAGTCCTCTTCATAAAGTCAAGAGATAACGAGCAGATTAGTGGAGAAAGCTTTACAATAATATGGCTGAAATCAAATTTATTTAAGATCCATGGAGCCCTTCAAATGACTAAAAAGATGAAAAGCCAGAAAGAAAAATAGCTGAAGATATAACCTTGAGGAAAAATGGCAAACAGCTAGCAAATGGGAAAGGCCGTGGATAACAGGAGCTCGTTTGTATTTTACAAAAGGAAGAGGGATAAAAGGATGAGACGTATCCTTGTACGTGAATGGAAGTTATTTGCAAAGACGCACCAGAGAGCAGAGGTCTACAGGGGAGAGGGAAAGGCAGAGGACTTGGATGCCGTAACGTTGCAGAACTCTGAATCTAGTTATAACTCCAGGTGATAAAGAGTGACCCAGCCGCCTGCGGAGGGAGGACTGCACGACCGAGGCGGTGTCGCTTCCGTTGGCAGCCCCCAGCGCATGCGCTTTTTGGCTTTCTTTCTATTTTAGTGGTGCTGCTGCTGATCAAGCCCAGGGCCGCCTGATCCTGGGGGGCACTGCGCCCTGAGCTAGGTCTCCATGCCTGCGGGGGCCGCTTTGGAGACAGTAGTCAACTCTGGGCAAAGCGAAGACGTTGCCCAGTTCTGGAAAGGAAAGACCATGTGCCAAAAATGGAATTGGCCATTTAAAAATAACTCATAAATGCGATGGGCCGGCCAAATAGCTCAGCAGATTAAAGCGCCTGCAAGCAGGTGCAGGGGCCGGGGTTCAATCCCTGGGCCTGCCGTGCTGGCCCCGCCCCCGGGGTGCACTAAGGCACAGTTGAGACCAGGCCTGGCGGCACGCCTGTAATCCCAGCTCTTGGGAGGCTCTAAACAGGCAGATCACTATGAGTCTGATCTAGTGAGACCCTGAACACCCAGTAGACCCTTCCCTAAAAAAATTAAAAAAAAAAAAAAAGGCATGATGAAGCTTGCATTGGGTGTCAGGGCCGATTCTTCCACAGCAGAGAGGTTCCTCAAGGTCTCCCTTTGGCCAGGGCACAGTGTCCT